AATATATATATATATATATATATATATATATATTCCATTTTCAGCAAGCTATATTGAACATAGTAAAACATTAGGTTCAAAATTTATAAAGTTCAAACATTTTGTACAGTAATTAAAATACAGAATAAAAGGAAGAAGTCAATTAAAAACAAACAAGAAAGAGTAGGAAAGTGCAGCAATTGTAACAATAATATACAAGTATTCAGAACACATGTAATTGTAGCAAAGTTTAAGTTCATTTATAATAGATAAACTGTCTTTAATTAAATGTTTAGTTTTGGATGATCCAGATTAAATTAATTTGAAATTCTTAATCATGATGGGGTGATTTTTGTTTTCACTATGTGTGCGAATTGTAGAGTCTGAAGGATTTGATGTGTTTTTTTTACAAGTTCTGCTTGATACTCCCATATGTTCGTAGATTTGCAGGTGTAATCCGGGTATAGTTTTGCCAAAATGTTTGAATTTTATAAATTTTGTACCTAATATTTTACCTTGTTCAGTATAGTTTCTGAAGATGGAATATGTACATTCCAAAACATTCAACATTTGTTACTGTATACACGTGTCAAATGTTTGTTGTTGTCGTCATTGTTCTACTGTTTATCATTAGCAATTAATGTTTCCAATTATTACTGTTTTTTATTATTCCAACAGTTGATTAATCAAAGTTATAATTAAATCGATTGTCACAAACATAATCAAGTTATCATTTTTATGGCAAAGCTACTAAGGCTATCTGCCACTGTTACTAATATTGAACTGTTGACTAAAGGTAAGGCAACTGGCTGGCAGCACCTACCACCAACCTTTTTTTTTTCATCTTTTATTTTGAATTGCTTATTAGAAGAAAGGTGACTGTGTAGAAGCATTTGCTGTCAACTTTTTTGTTGTTGTTTTTTTCTGCTTGTAAGTCCAATAACTCTTTGTTGAATAATTTTAAAATATTTTCTTTGGGTTATATGCATAATTTTTGGTCTTTGCCTTTTTACTTATAGTTTTATTTTCCTTTCCTATTCTTTACCATTGATTATTTATGTTGACACATGTTAACAGGTGCCCTCGGGCATTACAATGGTATCATCGGCAGAGATACGTTAGCTTCCGACAAAATATTTTTTAACTTGCTTAGTAATGTATGCATTGTGAAGCAAGGCAAAATTTTGGTTATATTAAAAAGGTTATTAAACCTTTCAAAACTCAAGTAATACCAAATTAAATAAAATATATATTAAAACCTAAGTGCAACTTAACTGTCTATCAAACTAATATGTATAAGGCAATAAAAAAAAAAACTATGAGCTAGGGATGCATAATCCACGAAAGTTTTAAGTTAGTCTTGAGAAAATAGTAGTATAAAACCAGCTCTTTCCATTTGTTATAAGTATGCCATTTGAATCTGTTCTATTGCTAAGCAATTGCCCTTCCTAATTTTGAAAGTAGGCGTGGCTTCTCTTAGAGATGTAATTAATTTGTTATTATATATTTATTTTAATATCAACGTTTGTTTAGATTAAGTTTATATTTTAAAACATGCATATCTTACAGTGTTAAATATGTATTGCGAAACTCCCACATATTCTCCAAAGTTGTAGAAGATTTTCGATAGTAAGAATCAACAATATATGTATATACGTAAATGCTTATTGTTTTGTTACGTAAAACT